TAAAAACCAAGACAATAAAACAATTAAAATATAAATACCCCCCGATTAAAACACAAACAACAAATATAAAGGCAATATACAAATCAGGAAGATGGAGGAAGCAGTATCAATCATCCCACGAGCCAGCTCCAGCAGTGTGAGCCCCCTCCAGGCCCCCAGGCCATCCGGCATAGCCATGGTTTTACACCTTTTCAGAAGGCCAGGAGAATGGGGGCAGCCCATGCCTCAGCTGTTCCACAGGGACAGCCAAGGCAGAAAAGGCTCTCCTCCTAGACCCCACCAGCCAAAATCCCTTGACTGGTGGGGTCTGCAACATGCTGCTTCTGCTGGACTGAGTGGGGCGGGCTGATATAACGGGGGCGAGACGGCTCTTCAGATAACCTGGTCCTGTGCCATGAACGACTTTAAAGGTGATAACCAACACCTTGCATTGGACCCAGAAGCAAACCGGCACCCAATGCAGCTCGTGTAACAGAGGTGTTATATGTGCCCCCCGGGGGCGTTCAAAACTGCTCTGCTGCATTTTGTGCCAGCTGTAGCTTCCAGATACTCTTCAAGGGTATCCCAACATTGAGCTCATTGCAGTAATCCAAACAGGAGGTGACCAGGGCATTATATGAAAGGCAGCCCTATAAATTAAGTAAATAAATAAATAAATAGACACGTTACAGAAACAGAATGAATTGGACTTAGGTTATTCTGAATATTGCGCAAAACCATTTGGAATTCCTCAGGATAATTACAACGTTACGGGTTCAACTGCATAAAATATATTTTTAAGAATCTTAAAGCACGTGGAAGATAAGGCTGTGATTCCACATCCAATCAGCTTGCCTTTATATTGAACATTTTTGGAAATCCTTCATCGACAGTTCATCTAAAACAACAGAACAGTCCTTAACCCAGCATGAACACAATTTCCATTTCCAATCGTTCCTGAGAATTCTCACAAAGATCTTATTGGACCATTACTAGCAGTAGCTAGATTTTTTGGTGGAGGTGCCTTTAAATCAATCTTAACTCCAGTCCTGGTGAATACACAGACAGGTTCATGCAGTTTCCTTGGAACAACTTCAGAAGTATTTGCCTTGCCTCCTTCTTCCTAGGGCTGAGGGAGAGGGACTGGCCCAAGGTCCCCCAGCTGGTTTCCATGCCTAATTTATGGCTTCCTGGCTTTTAATCCAGTAATTTTAACTGTGATATCAAACTAGCCGTCAGTGGCTGAATTAGAGTGAGGCATCGGCGCTGATCTTATGTTACAGGACACTGATTAGAGGTTGCAAATGTGTGTATTTTTATATGCTGATGATGCCGTCTTGCTTGAGAACCTGCATGATTTGCAGTGAATTCAGATAATCTATGAGGTAATGAGGAGCAAAATTCGGAGCATGAATGTATCTAAGACAAAGGCCATTCTGTTTGACAAGGGAAATGGAGTGAATGACTGGAAGTTATAAAGAAATGGTGAAAAACTAAAGCAGGTTGATGAATACATACATTCATTATGTGTCCTCTGGTATTATGTAACAATTTGCAAAGTGTGGAAAATCCTCATTAGATATAGTTAGTGCCTTTACGGTACCATTACTTTGGACCAACGTAGCTCTCATAAAGCTGCTCAGGAGCTGGAACATTAACTCATATAGTATGGATTTGTCCTATTACGGAAAGTTTTGAGGCAAGAATGCCCATTGGAAAGAGTCATCCATATCTAATTTGTAGCAGCAGGCTACTGATAAAAGTGGCCTGTCATTTTTTTTTAACAAACTGGCAGAGAAGACTTCCAAACAATCTGGTCAATTTTTTGGAGCTGTTTTGGTTATAACATAGTTTTCCTGGTCTTTTCCTCCTCTTTTTATTTTTTATGTTATATTATTTGTTGACACTTTATATGTGTGCTTTAAATTTTTTTCTGTTAATTCTGGAACTTGAGAATTGTTTTTTTAATGTTCACAGTAAAAGTTGTAGGTTTTGGAAACAATATTCTTCAAGCATATCCATTTTTGGTTGTATCTAATATATACAAACATTTACCCTGATATAATTGATTTTCTACATTGTTTTCATCAATAGACACTTTTTCCTAATAAATGTTTGTTGCTGTGAATCATAAACTGCATTGCAAAATTTGAAAAACTGCGAATTTTGGAGGCTAAGTTTCAATTCATTCTACATCAATGAGGAAATCAAAAATGTTACTAAAACTAGATCTGGTCTTATATATTACACTGACTGTGCCCCCCACTCACCCCCAAGGAGGGCTGAGGATATCCAGTGGGCACGCTGAATAGCTGCTAGGGATGGGAACAAAAAATTGGGGAAGGAGCCAAAGAAAATGAAATGTCCCAAACCCTGAAAAGATGCATTCCATATTGCAATATTTTCCAATCTATTATCCACATCCTGAAATATTCAAAAGCTGTTGGAATGCAAGTGCAGTAGATATTAGAACAGAATAAGAAGTTAGGATAAAAATAAATTCATATCTGCTTTTGCTTATTTCTAGTGCTACTTCTGCTCTTACTATTCATGGGTGTGCAAAGATCTGAAAACCATGTTTACAATCTGGAAGAGTGTTTCCAAGATCCTGAATATGAAAAGTGGTTGTCTATTGCCAAACACGGACTAGGAAGGGCCTTGAAGCCTAAGAGTATTGTGATTGTTGGAGCAGGAATAAGTGGACTGACTGCTGCCAAATTACTCAAAGAAGCTGGGCATCGGGTAATTACTCAACTGCCTTTTACTCAGATAATGAAAAGATAAATTATGTGTGTTTCGGTTGGTTTCGGAATAGAAGTAGCCATTGTAGTGGGTGGGGATGGACAAATACAGCATTAGATGTATAATATAAAGGCTAAAAATTACAGTAATACCTTGGTTCACGAAAGCTTCTGTTCACGAACAATTCAGTTTGTGAACAGCAGCGTTCTCAAAATTTTGCTTCTGTTCGCGAACTCCGCATCGGGTGATGAACATGACCCGTGGCCATCTTCCCTGCTCTGACACATGGTCATGGCTTCCTCTAGGTGAGATCGTGGTCGCAGACAGACACTTGCTGTGAAGCTTTTTGGTGTCGCCTCAAGCAAGGTTAGTGTTCTCTCTCTTTTGCTTCTGTTCGCGAACTCCGCTTTTGCTTCTGTTCGCGAACTCCGCTTTTGCTTCTGTTCGCGAACTCCGCCTGTACTATACTGCACTTTGTTTCATATTTTTGTGGTTAAAAAAAAATACATATGGTTCAGAACGGATTAACCTTATTTATATTGAATCTTATGGGAAAATTTGATTCGGTTGGCAACCATTTCGGCTCGCAACCAGAATCTTGGAACAAATTAAGTTTGTGAACCGAGGTACCACTGTAATTATTATTAGTTTGTGAACATTTTCTCCAATCATTAATTTTTTTATTTCTCTCAGTTGTGGTCTCCTAGAATACAGAACAACTACAAAAGGACAGAACTGTTTATAAAAATTGCTGAACATTGTTCTATATTAATGGGATAATGTAGATAAATGTCAGACTAGTTGAATGAATGAATAAATGAATGAATAGATTAAGGTATGGTGAGGTTATATGCTTTGGAGGGGGAAGAGTCTGCAATGAAAAGTTGAAAATTTATTTCAGTCATAGACTTGGGCCAGTCATTAAGTGAAGTATGGCACTTTCCCCCCATCCTTAGAAAGTGGCAGCCATCTTCCTGAGCCAGCATCTCAGTGATAACAAAGTTCACTTGCAGCTGGATTTGAGGACTGGCTGGCATATTGCCTTTAGATGAATACCCTCAGCTGAAACCAGTGGCCAACAAAGGATATAGCTCCATCCAATAGGGATGCTGGTTATGGGGTTTGTAAAAGTGAATCAAGGTTCATGTGAAACCAAAGGGAGACCTGCAAGGAGCTCTTCGGCCACAGATACGTACAGATCATTGTACACTTAGGAGAAGAGAGAGAAATAAGAACAACCCATTCCTCATCAGTACACTTTTTTCCTAGGTTGTGATCCTGGAAGCCAGTAACCGCGTGGGAGGGCGCATAAAGACTCACCGAGAAGAAGGCTGGTATGTTGATATGGGGCCTATGCGTTTGCCCAAAGCCCACAGGTAAGGTTGATTGAAAGGTCTTTCTCCATCGCATCATCTGATATGACAGGCAAAATTGTTCACATTTAACAAATAGTTGCCTTCCTGAAATTTTAGATATATTGTTAGAAAAATGATAACTGTTGCCTACTGGAACAGGACTAAAGGGTGTTGATAAGGACTTGACTCTGAAAAGGATCCA